TTTTTATTTTCACTAAGGCCTGTTTGATTATACCAAATTTTTCATGAAAAATGGAAAATTAATTCCATTTTCCATCTTTTTGGTTGTTTGCTAGCCTTTTTTTCCAAGGAATTAGTTTTCTTGTTTTTCTCGGCAAGGAGCAATTTTCTATGTTTTCATTGAATTCGAATTCTAGGCATCTGTAGCGATTTTTTATTTTATTTTTTCCTTCTTTGCAATGTAAACAAATTCTACCCCCTAATTGTAACAAAATATTTTCCTTTAATTGACAATTTTCATATAAAATATAGTCAAATGGATATCAAAAGATAGATGATTTTCTTATTTTTTATTTTTTTTACTATGGAGACAAATTATATCTTCAATACCAGTAAATTTTATTCCTTTAATTGATAATTTCATGTAAAACAAAACAAAACAAACATAAAAAAAATACTTTTATTTGAATAATTTTCACGTGAAAAATTATACCAATCAAATACAATAAATTAACAGTTCCCAGGAAAATAATTTATAGACAATTCAATTTCCTGGAATTCATTTTCTTTCCACTCAAATTTTATTTTTGCAATCAAACGGACCCTAATGGTTACACAACTTTATACTTCGTGTCCGATTGATTGCAATGATGAAATTTGGGTGGAAAGAAAACAAATTCCAAGAAATTGAATTGTCTAAAACTTGTTTTACTGTGAATTATAAATTAAATATGTTTGATTGGTATAATTTTTTACCTGAAAAATGTTAAAATTTTGTATATTTTAGTGTTCGTTTGGCTTTTTTTAAGAAACTTGTTAATTAAAGGGGTATAATTTGTTATAATTATGAATAGAATTTGTTTTCATTGCACACAAAAAAAAAAATTGAAAATTGATTTCTCCACAAATTCATGGAAAAATGGGTCACGTGGGCGGGAGGAGGGAATTCATTTTCCAGGTAAAATTTTGCTATCAAACAACACAAAATGGGTGGAATGGAAAATGGACCTATCAAATAGGCCCTTAGTATCGTATTGACCATTCAATTTAATTTTGTTTTGTGATGGCCATCAAATTTCATATTTAGTGTCACATTGACCATTCAATTTTATTATATTAAATCCTTTTTTGTTTCTCATTATTTATCCATTAAAATAAAAAATATAATCGTTATCCATCACATGAAGTGAGTATATTTGACTTTTTATCTCTTGAATAGCCCGTAATGATTATATTTTTTATTCTCATTTTTACATTAATGTGGCTCAAACGAGGCCTAAATAAAGTTATTGGGTGGCTTGACTAAAATTATATACGAAGTTGGATGGTCATGATAAAAGAAAATCAAATTGGGTGGCCATTATGATACTAAGAATGAAGTTTAGTGGGCATTGGTAAATTTAACCCTTTCTTTTTGCATCAATTATTTTCAAATCGAGAATTTCCTACAAATATAATACATATACACTAATATGAGTAAAAATTTGTCAAAATAATTATATATTAAGCCTTTATTTGAACCCCATTATTTTGGAATAATGATTTTTTCAATAAATATTATTGAAAAGTAGGAAAAAGATTTTGGTTCACGCGTAAAATTACTTTATTAAGAGAATATATGGTTAAAAATGAATTTTAGACCAAATACATTTTTGAAAATGGGACTCAAACAAGGGCTAAATAAATTTAAAAAGAGAAAAATTCATGTTTAAGGTAGTTATAGCACACAATTTCAAAATTAAGAAAATTATTTTAAAGTTTCAAATATCAGGTTTTAATTAAGATTTATTAATTAAGTAATATATTAAAAACATTTATTAATTATCACAATATTATTTAATTTATGATCACAATTACAAATTTTATAAGTCACAATTATCAAATTAATTGATCACGAATTATTTCTCGATCATAAATTACAAATTTTATGGGTCACAATTTATTTTATCGGTCACGTATTATTTCTCGATTACAATTCACAAATTCTATAAGTCACAACTTATCGTACAATCACAAATTATTAAATTAATTTGTTACAACTTAACAATTTTATTGATTATTATCACCCAAATAATTAGTCACAAATATTTTTTTTTAATCTCAACTCATTCCAACCGAACTCCATGCCATGCCACCACCACGTGCACCTCAATCATTTGTGACCACCATTTTATCGTCAACACCACCACCAACACCACGTATTATTTCTCGATTACAATTCACAAATTCTATAAGTCACAACTTATCTTATAATCACAAATTATCAAATTAATTTGTCACAACTTAACAATTTTATTAATTACAATCACCCAAATAATTGATCACAAACCATTTTTTTTTTTTTTAATCTCATCTCATTTCAACCGAACCCCATGCCATGCCACCACCACCTGCACCTCAATCGTTTGTGACCACCATTTTATCGACAACACCACCACCAACACCATCAGATCCATCGTCACACTAGAAACCACACCACCAACACCAAAATGTGGAAACTACCACCTTCATTGCCAAATCTATTATCATTGCCACAAACCACCCTAAACCCAACACCACCAAAACATAAAAAAAAATAGAATAAAATAAAAATAATAAAATCACCACCACTCCAGCAACTAAAAGAATCCAACAGAAAAAACCAACCCAACCATTGTTGATCGCCACTGCAGTCGAGATTTGAACACCGCTGCAGCGGCGTTGTGCAGAGCCACACTCAGCTTGCGGCTTCTCTACGCATCGTTGCTGTGTAGCGACGCTTAGAGGCTGTCTTTGGTGGCGGGCGATCTCCGACGATGATGACAACGACAACAGTCAAGGGGAGAGGGTAGAGAGAGATGGGAGAGGAAGAGAGGAGAATAGAGAATGGAGAGGAAAAAGAAAGACAATAATTTAGGTTTGAATGGAGTACATAAATTAATTTATAATACGATTATTAATATTAAAATATTAAATAATTACCTGATTTTAATAAAGGTTAGTGAATTTTGTAGTTGAAAAATTGTATATCCATGTAATGTATGAATGAAAATAAATTTTGAAATAAATAAATAAATATGAGGATCAAACAATGGCTTAGTATAATCCTCTTCTTTTTTATTGATAGCAGAAGCATATATAACCTTTGTAACTCCTTTTGCGCTGACAATCAATGGGAAGAAAATAAGTTTTGTAATAATGATTTTTTGGAAAATGTATAGTCAAAATATAAAAAAAATATTAAATTCAAATGTATAATATTTTATTATTAAAATATGGGATTAAATTTAACTTTGAGAAAATAAAATTTTATTTTTAATGATCATCAAACATGAACTTACAAAATTAAAATATTTATGACACACTCTTGAGTTTTGAATATGTTATTTGTACATAATGCAATAGTATAACGGTGTCCATCCTCCTCACATGGAAGGAGATGCACTTCTGATAAATTATATTTTATTTGAAGTTGATCTCTTTGCATAAGAAATGATTATTATTATAAACACTCTGATATACGTGTAGCATAATTCTTTAAGTTTTGACAATGGGACAAGGCCCAATTGTAGCTCGACGGGCCACAACGGCTCTATCTCGCTCCAAAAGTTAACCATTATGTTCAATAAATTAATATAGTGAAAGAAAAATGATATGAGCATAATTTTATTTTATTTTCCAGTTAAGATTTAAAATTATAAATCGTTACTGACCCCATAAAATGCCCACACCTTCATCTTCACACTTCATTTATCTATCTATCCGTCTTTCTTCTCGTCTCTCTCCACTCTGTCTCTAGTTGAGCCATGGCTTCCTCCTCAATAACCCTCTCCCAAGCCATCCTCTCCAGCTCCTCCATCGCCCGCCATGGCTCTTCCCAATCAACAACTACCACTTCCCTTTCCCTTCCCACCTTTTCC